GACTTCCCATCAGCAGGATATATCTACTGTTTCGTAAAACAGAACAGAACCAAACCAAATTTGATGTGCAGGTAGAATTAGGCAAATAAATAAGATCGTGTTACAAAATGGGTGATCAGTACAGGCGCAGCACAGAAAAAAAATATTCCATAAAAATGGATCTCTCTGGAAAAGGCAGTGGCTCAAATGTTGCTGCCTCTGCCCGTTCTCTCCTTCTGCCTCCCGTATTGCTTGGACATACCCAGAGAAACTACAAGGAAGAGATTCAATCTGTTGCTTTATTACTCAAAACAAAAAATAAATAGGCATATCCTACGGCCATTGCTGGCAAACGGGTTAGAAAAGCCATTTTCTGCATGCTTTCTCTATTTTGTTTTCTATCCAAACAAAAGTAATGTGGGAACTAAATCATGTAAAGAGAGACCGCATTTAATGAAAAGGGACATGTTGGCAAAAGAAAGACTGAGTTTGAAAATGAACTGGATCAGGCTGAGTCAGCAGAGAAAACTATTTCCAGAAAAATTGTTGTACATTTTGTAAAGCAGCAATTTAAAGCAGTATTTCTCAACCTTAGCAACTTTAAGATGAGTGGACCTGAACCCTCAGAATTTTCAAGCTGGCATGCTGAATTCTGGAGTTGAAGTCCACGTATCTTAAGGTCATCAAGGTTGAGCAACACAGCTTCAGGGCATTTCTAGCATTTCAGACTGCTGCTGCTCGTACACTGTAAAACTCTTAAATTCCTGCTCATGTGACTCATAGTGGAGCTGTTGTTAAGGGATTTGAAAGAGTTTTGCACGATACTTTTGCATGTTTTCCCTATCTTATACTACCACATCACCAAAGGCCATTCCAGAATCTAAGAATAAGGAAGGGAAGTGAAGAAAGAAAGAGCATCTTGATATTGGCCCTATCAGCAATGTCTGCTAGCCAGACACTGAAGCTCTCAAGTTAGAGCCAATCATGGTGATATGCCAGAATGTCATTTGCAGCAACTGTACTATGTCCTCACTAAAAATTGAGCAATGTCACAATTAGGAAATAGTGAAGATAGTCACTGAAATCCGTGGAGAAGTGAAAAACTCTTTGAAGTGTTTAGATTCCATCTCGTTAAAGTCAAAAGTGATAATAATGTCAAGAATTGTCCTAGGAGGATTATATTTTGCATTCCAAGAGATCAAAGAAGTTTACATGCATTATTTTAGGAACAAGACACAACACACACAAACCTAATGTTAGTGGTTGATTAAAACCTATATATTAATCCATACTAGACATATATATTGATGTATATAGCTTCCTTGAAATACCAGGTCTACAATTGGAATACAGTATTGTGTTTTGAAGCCACTTTGCTTCTTCCTGACATTCAGGGCATAAGTGTCTAAAGGGTGTCTTCTTTCATTGCTAAAGGTGGAACTTGAGGGAGGGCGACTGGCTCACCAAAGCCTTCATAACTCTCTACTTAGATCATTGCCACATGCTTCACTTAAGGTTATGCCTGAAGAAATTTTGAAAGCCATGTTAGTGCAAACAATCTAGAATTTATTTAGGAAAGTTGCAAAGCCCTCTTAAAAATTTTAATTCCATTTCAGTGGCTGCCAAATCAAGGAGATCAAAGCATCATTTGTTGGATAAGTTCATGGTTACCTCTTATCTCTTCTGAATACTCTGCCACCCTTTTGACATGGCATCCGACTGAAGCAATGTCATTGGAGTTACTTATTGGGAATTATAAGTGTGTCACTTGGTTTTCCAAACTACAGTACTTTTTCTTTTTTTACTTTTTCACAGATGCATATTTGTTGTACTGAAAAGACAAGAAAATGTTTCATGCTAAAAACAGACACCAACCCCCCCACACACACACACTTGTAACATTTCATTGTACTCCTCTATATCCCATTGTCACCACTCTATATCCCATTGTCACCACTCAAGCTAAGGAACTAGAACAAAGAACAAACCACACTAAATGTTTTAGAGAAAGGATAGGAATTTAATTTAAGACTATCATTTTTGGCAGTCACTTCATAAGCTTTATAAATAGGCCTGCACTGAGCAAATTGTGAAGTGCAGGGCAATAAAGAGACCAAGCCCCAAATGAATTGAGTTATGAAGTTTATGATAATATTTGGCAACCTGGCATGTTGCTGTGTTGATTAAAAGAAAAGACTTGCAAATGTTTTCAGCATAAACTGATATTTGGATAAGAGGCATTTACTAATTTATGAAGATTGTGTTTCTGTGTAAACAAGAGCTGTTGATTAGAGGCAGGATGCTGAGAATGAGAAATATGTGGAATCACAACCTAATTAGGTATCTCAAAAGATAAGCTTCCTATCTAGCCTTTATCATCAAAGACTGTGTTTAGACAAGAGAAGAACTTTTCAGGTTCATTTGTGTTGCTGTTGCTGACTCAACTATAGTTGTTCAGTTACCAGGAAAATATTCTTCCATCCTTGATCTTCTGCACAGCTGCTCTATTCCTCTGATAAACCTCCTTAATTAATGGATTCTTCTTCTGGGGTTGAAGTAATGAAAATCAACTTTCAATTAAAATGCTATTCCTATATATATATGTTGGGTATTGCAGTCCGTGAGTATTCACTAACAATCTCTACAGTTTCCTAGACTTAAACATCCCATTTGCTTAAAATTCTTTGAAACCTAAAGTTTAATCATAACACAAGAATTACTGAAAACACTGTGGGTAATTATCCTCACTGTAAGTAAATATCCTCAAGCCAATAGGCATCTCAACTAGCACCAAACTTGAGGTGCATCAATACTTAAGAGGTCTTGCTAATCCAGTCTTACTAAAATCTCTTTCACATTATATAAATAGTATTAGTTATATATGCATGATGAGATACATTGAAACCTTGTGAGATCATGACACAAAGTCAGGCTCTTTTGTACTTACAGTGTTATTTTACAAGAACAAACATCAGGATGGAGTTTGTTTTATGATGTCATAGCAGATGTTTTGATGAAATTTCAGTTTACTGTGGGTGTTCCTGATAATTAATTGTTAGCCATTATAATGTCTTTAACTCATTGCCAAAGAATTTACAATTTTATAATAGTCAGTGTGAGGTCCTTGCTGCTGTCTGAGCTTGGTTGTTTTCATGATCAACAAGCCAAAAGCGGGGGAAAAAGACCAAAACACCTCCAACCAACAATCAGCACCCAGATGAGCATAGACTAACTTCAAAATTAACATCAGACCAACAATCAAGTAAACAATATCCTAATCAACGAACTGCTGAACAAGCCAACAATAAACAGTCCAATGAAAGAACCTCTAAGACCACCCCTACCAACACTGAAAGGGCAAGCCACCAGAAGAACTGAGAATAAACACTCCCTACAAGCTTTGACGATGTTACATTGTTTGGGTAATTAAACATCTGCAAGAAAACAACCAAGCTCAGAGAGTACCAAGGATCCAAACATTTCAAACCTGAGCTACAAATATTTTCCTTTATTGATTGTTTTATTGCAGAGGTTTCATTACTAAACTAGGTAACATCATCAATGCTAGTAGGGAGTGGAATTATACTCTCATTTTATATTCTAGTGGCTTGCCTCATCAATGTTGGTGGGAGTGGTCTTGGTGGTTCTTTGGGCTGTTGTTTACTGTTAGCTTGTTTGGAAGTTTCCTGATTGGGGTATTGTTTGCTTCTTGATTATGGTATAATGTTAATCTTGGTGTTAATCTCTGCTTATCTGGGTGTTGATTGCTGGTGAAGTGTTTTGGTCTTTTAGTTCCATTTTTGTTTTTTTGATTGGTTTTTTTAAGTAGTATGTAGATGTGTGTATGTCTACAAGTCCATTGATGGCCAATTTGTCTGAGTACCAGGCTTCCAGGAATTCTCTAGTGTTTTTGGACTTGGGTTGGTCTCTAGGATGCTTACAGTTTCCCAGTTAAAACTATAGTTAAGTCTGTCTATATATTGTGAAATTAAGGAGTTTTCATCATGTCTTCTGACTGCTAGTTGGTGCTCATGGACTGCTAGTTGATATTCATGGTCTTCTATATAATCAATATCTGAACTATATACAGTGTAATAATCAGTGTATATTTAGGAAGTAATTTAAGACTAGTGTCTTATGGCATTACTTATTTGTTTTTAAGGACATTAGTTTTATAACTTTATTTTTAATTCACAATATTTTACATTTTACTATTTATAATTTTTTACATTTTTTACATTTTAATATTTATGCTTTAAAATAAGCTACTTGAAATGAACTTTGGCTAATGTGTACGCTGCATAATTAGTAGTGAGAGGTCTAATTGTCCAACAGCATAAATTAATGTAACGTATTAAAACAATTTAAGCTAATTGTATAAAATCCAAAAGCTATAATTTACATTTAAAATCTCTTATCAGTATTTAACCCCTGAAAGCTCAGTGTAAAAAGGTTATTAAGAGGTGGGAGATGTGAAAAAGATCTAGTTAAATTATTACTTATAAAGAATAACATGTAACAGAACAAACTGATGCTCAATCTAGAAAATGTGTAAATACAGTAATGGACCATCTGACTTAAGGCTGGCTGGAATAGAATTGTATGTGCTACTCATAAAACATTAGTTTCATATTTGGGATTTGCTCTCTGACCCTGCTGTTCTTTTAAATGCAAAGATGGTATCTGTAAAGAGCTTCAGCTGGTATGACATTCCATGGCTATCTCTTAATATCTAAAGCATTCTATTGGGAGGTAGTTTTCTAAAAAAAAAAAAAACCTTTGGAAAGATGAAAATACTGCCAGGATGCTGATTCTAACTAGGTGTTTGGAATGTATTGCAACTATTTATTACATGAATACTGGAATTTGTTTCCAGGCTCAGGTCAAGATGCTGTTTTAACCTTTTAATCTCTTGGGAATGTCAAGGATTCCTTCCTTCTCCATTCAACATCTTGCTCCAGCAAGATGCTGGTGTCAGCTTTCAGAGCCAATATCTGTTAGGCTGGGCTGGGGTTCATTACCTTGCCTCTGAAGATGCCAGCCAGTTTCCAGAGAAATATCCATGGTCACTGGAGCCCAATATTGCCCAATGTAAAGTTAATTTCTAAAAGTGGGACCTTTCTAATAATTCCTTCTGCTTCATACAATATTCATACAGCTATTCAAACAATACTTAGCTGAGGAAAGTTTGCTCACTTCTGTCTTTTTTCTTGTCTAAAATGGATAGAAAACCTGTTGCTCTTTTGTGGCCCGTAGAATCCTTCTAATCATGATAGTGAAACATGAACAGAGTTTTGCAAGACCCACCCTGCCCTGCCCATTAGCCCCATACCCTGTCACATAGGATAAGGCATTACAGGCAGTTCTCAACTTACAACAGTTCATTTAGTGACCGTTCAAAGTTACAACGGCAATGAAAAAAGTGACTTATGGCCATTTTTCACAATTAAGACCTTTGCAGCCTCCCCATGATCATGTGATCAAATTTCAAATGCTTGACAACTATTTCATACTTATGACTGTTGCTGTGTCCCAAGGTCATGTGATTACCTTTTGTGACCTTCTGACAAGCAAAGTCAATAAGGAAGGCCACTGCAGCCGAGAACTGAGCTACGGATTAAATTCATAGCTTGGTTCTCAGCTGCACAGGCCTTTTGGAAAGGCCTCTGACTGCGAAATGCAGGCCGGAGCTCCATTCTCAGCTGCAGAATGAAGCTGTTCCTTCAGCCGCAGAAGAAATGGGCTGGCGAGGCAAGTGTTGATCCATGGGAGGCCTGACTACAATAGCAAGCTCCACCTGCCCTAGCTTGATTTTTAGGCTTGTGCTTCACCTCAAAACTAGGGCTTATTTTTGGGGTAGGGCTTATAGGGAATTAGTTGTTTAGCAGATTGATGGTATGGGGGGAGAGAACCTGAACTTGTTTCTAGTTGTTTCAGCGTGCAATGCCCTAATACAATCAAACCTGTTCCATGATACTCTCAAGAAAGGTATTCAGCTAAAAATGTCTTCAGGGCTTCCAAAAAAATTCACCCTTTGTTGTATAAATAAATGTGGCAAAGAAATTTGAAAATTCCCATCTAGTTCTTGTTATGTAGCTAGTCACGAATCAGTAGGATGATTTGTTATTTCATTCTCACATCCCTAGATCTATTTTGATTACTTTGGTAGGTGATCATGTCTTATGGAGTCCGTGGCTTAATTTCAAATAATCATGCAGAGAATCAGCATGTATACATAGTTACAGAGGAACTAGTCAGAATGAATGAAATCAGCTTTTCAAGCAAGGCTTTTTAGCATGATTCAGAAGGACAGAAAAAAGAAATAAGGGAAATAGACATGGCTAGTTTTAAAAAGCAGAGATACAGAAGAATGCTTATTTCAGTTTTCTTTTTACCACCCAAGAAAACATTTTGACAGGAATCATAGAAAGCTATTATGTACTTCCATGTATGTCTATTCAGAACTAAGCTAAACCAGATTAGGGTTAGAATACATTTATTCCCTAGGCAATACAGTATATACTGTTAGTGTGCTGCATAAATCAAAGTTAGCAATTGAGCTAAGTAGATTTTGGAAGGGTGCCTTTACAACAGGGGTGTCAAACTCACAACATCATGTGACATGTCGTGACATATCGGGGCTTTTTTCCTCATTGCCGGCAATGGGATGAGCATGGTTTTGGCATGACACATCCAGTCTTGACACCCCTGCTTTACAGTATAGCTTCAGGCTTTGTTTCAACTCTAAGCAAAGCACCCTTTTTGATTGCAATAAGGGCTTCATCAGGTGCATAGAAACCACCAGCAAATAATCAAGCAAACTTACTCAACAAGCCGTTCCCTACACTTTGCCTCCAGGAGGTGATGGGCTTCACTGAGTAGAAACACCTCCAATAGTACACCCCTAATTTCTAACATTAATAGAGAATAATTTTAATTAGTCAACTGAGGTTATGGCACTGCTTTTATATGAATCTACTCATTAGCTTATTGCTATGATTGTCAATACATGTGGCTTATTGTATCTCGGAACATTTAAAAACAAGAACTGCTTTTTCTTTTCTGTAATAGTATCTTGATTTAACATATTTAAGACTACAGGTGGATACAATTTCAAAATCTTTTTTTTCTTAACTTGTTTTGATACCCACTAGATGGCAGTGGCTGATAATACCACAAAACTGGTCATGTAACAAATATAATTCATAGTCACTACTACTATTCAGAAGGGAAAAAAGTCTAACAATGCCTAACGCTAAGGTTTATAAATGATCTACTGAAAGGCTGAGATACATCCATCTCAAAACCTCAACACTCGATTTTCACCTTAGCAGTTGGGATTGCAGGTGATTGGTAAAAAAAAAAAAAAGTCAGGGCTTTAGAAGAACAGCTTAATCTTCACAAAATATTACCCACATTCTATGTAGGTTTGTTTTTTAAAAGTCAATAGAAAGCTGTTCTTGAATCTAATTGTAATTTAGACTGTTTCATTCTAGCAGTTCTCCAAGCTTGGTTTTAGTGTTTAGTTTTTAATTCTATTAGATAATATTATTATACCAGGAGTTTGGAGAAGTGCAGTTCATTGGCTGGCAAAAGTTATATAACATTCTCTATGGTCATCTTTTAATATTCTTGGATGCCATCACAGATGTTGCTGATGTTGTTTTGCAAGTAAGTTATGCCTTGTTGATAGATTATTTATTTGCTTGAGAAGGTGGTGATTTTGTATGATCTGGTGTTGTTTCCTCTGCCATCTGTGGTATTGATATCAGTGTGATGGCATGGCTCACCATGAGGGTGTTGTTTTTATGTAACTGTGAACTGCTTTTTTTTAAAAAAAGGTTGATTAATAATAATAATAATAATAATAATAATAATAATAATAATAATAATAATAATAATAATAATAATAATAATAAAGTTGGAAGGGACCTTGAAGGTCATCGAGTCCAACCCCCTGCTCAGGCAGGAACCCTACACCATTTCGGACAAATGGCTGTCCAGTCTCTTCTTAAAAACTTCCAGTGTTGGAGCATTCACCGCTTCTGGAGAAAGGTGGTTCCATTGGTTAATTGTTCTAACTGTTAGGAAGTTTCTCCTTAGTTCTAGGTTGCTTCTCTCCTTGATCAGTTTCCATCCGTTGCTTCTTGTCCTGCCTTCAGGTGCCTTGGAGAATAGGTTGACTTCCTCTTCTTTGTGGCAGCCCCTGAGATATTGGAACACTGCTATCATATCCCCCCCTCGTCCTTCTCTTCGTTAAACTAGACAAAATTCCAGCAACCGTTCCTTATATGTTTTAGCCTCCAGTCCCCTAATTATCTTTGTTGCTCTTCTCTGTACTCTTTCTAGAGTCTCATCATTTTTTTTACATCGTGGTGACCAAACCTGGATGCAGTATTCCAAGTGTGGCCTTACCAAGGCAGTGTAAAGTGGTATTAACATTTCACGTGATCTTGATTCTATCCCTCTGTTAATGCAGCCCAGCACTGTGTTGGCTTTTTTGGCAGCTGCAGCACACTGCTGGCTCATATTTAAGTGATTGTCCACTAGGACTCCGAGATCCCTCTCACAGTTACTACTATTGAGCAAGGTACCCCCTATACTATACCTGTACATTTGGTTTTTCTTGCCTAAATGTAGA